GGGGGGGGGGTGTGTGTTATTGCCACTTCTGTCTTCTGTAGCATGCCCGAGTAAAAAGCAGACTGCTTCTCATCTCCGTGTCTCTATGTGACGCACTCGTTTCCTTGTTCTGACAAAATCGATGGTGCCCACGTTGTTGTTGCTGCCTTTGTTGATGTCCAGTAAAATGGCGTCTAAAGTGTAGCGGTTAGGCTTTTTGCCGTCACATGCACTTTTTAGAGGTTTTACATTGTATGCGTCTTAAAATGTTTATTATTCATGTAACGTTGTTGCTGCTAAAGCTGTATTATTTCTTCTCCTTCTTCTTCTTCTTCTTCGTCGTCGTCGTCGTCGTCCTCCTCCTCCTCCTCCTCCTCAACATTAATTTTATTGTTGACAGTAGAAGCAATAGTAACCAGAGGGTGATGGCGGAGGGTTATATCTGTTTGTGTGTTAGAGAGAGAGGGGAGGAGGAATGAGCTACAGACACAGAGAGAGAAAGAGAGAGAGAGAGAGAGAGAGAGAGAGAGAGGGGGGGAGAGAGAGAGAGAGAAATAGACGGGGGGGGGAAGAACTACAGACACATACCGAGAGAAAGAGAGAGAGGGGGGGAGGTAGAAAGATAGAAGGGGAGAGGGTGAAGAAGAAATAGGATGCGGGGTGCAAATAGGCTAACAATTTCTTGGTGCTTTGGGGGAAATACCATGTACAGGGTCAGCAAACGTATTTTGCCTAAGAGATAACCGAAACGCCCAAAATTTCCGCATGGATGGCATCTGAACCAGAGCAGGTTGGTCGGTTGGGAAAATAAAGTGTACATGGAAAATCCGCGATGAGTGAATAAAAGAGGAGAAAAGAAAATGAGTGAGGGAGATTAGTGAAGGTAGTTGTAGGAGGGAAATGAGCTGTCCAGCCTTAAGCACGAAGGAGGAACAGCTGTCGGTGAGAGCGACCCCGATACAACATCCATAACACAGGCCAATACTTTAACGACTTTCCTTGAGGTGGAGCGTTATTGAGCGTTCCAGTCAGTGCGCGCACGTATATATATAGCTCTATGCAAGTTTTGTCGGACCATGGAAACAGCTGATGTGGCCCGTCTACCTTTGTTCAAAATGAGTGTTGGATGTCGTTAGGGTCGTAATTATACCATAAATGTATGTTAGTGCACTTCTCGAGACAGACGGACAGACGGACAGACAGACAGACAGACAGACAGACAGACAGACAGACAGACAGACAGACAGACAGACAGACAGACAGACAGAGGGGCAGGCAGACAGGCAGGCAGAGACAGGGGGAGAGGAATTGTAAGGTTGTTTGGGAGGGGAGGGGGGTGAGTTGACCCTGATTGTATTTAGTACGACCCATTTGAGGTGCAGTGTAGAGGAGTGAGGTGTAGTGATAGAGATGTAAAAGTGTTTCTGGTCAAGAAAAGGAAGCATCGAAATAGTATGACATGAGATGGGAGGAGAGGGTTTTGTTGCCACCAGCGGTGCAATTGATTTTTGTTGCTGTTTATTCTTACACATAATATATTGTTTTCCTATTGAATATTTTGACTCTTCGTTTTCTATTTTCTATCTTCTTCTTGGAGTAGTTTGGTTAATTGAGCTAATGGGCGCTCTGATATGGCCTGCTCGATTTTTTTTTTTGATTTTTTTTTTTTTTTTTCTTTCGGGGGGGGGGGGGGGGGCAAGCGACTTGAATTTGCGATTCTCACGATTTTTTAAGAAATTGGCGAGATCAAGTTGTTCCAGAGGTGTTTAAAGGGGCTGATGAATGATGAAGCTTTTTACAAATTCCAAGACACTGACGAGGGAAGTACTGTATAGTTTTTTCTCGTCCCTCTTATTATATTCTGGAGAACGCTTTACACGAACGAATACAGAAACGCGTATAGAGACGTACGCGTGCGCACATACACA